ATCAGAGATTAGTATTGCTACTCCTGCTTGTTTATTATTGCAATTAGCTTGGTATATTTTTTTCCATCCTTTAACTTTTAGTCTGTTTTTGTCTTTGCGTGTAAGGTGTGTCTCTTGCAGGCAGCATATTGAAGGGTATTGTTTACACATCCATTCTGCCACTCTCTGTCTCTTCACAGGTGCATTTAATCCATTGACATTAAGTATAATTATCAATTGGTATGATTTAACTGCTGCCATTATGTTAATTTTTTGGTAGTGCTGTTTGTTCCTTTATTCTGCATGCCTTCTTGTGCTGAGTTTGTGTTTTTTTGTGTGCTATTTCTTGTCGATTTCTTCTTAGTTTTCATGTTTCCTTGTTCTGTTTGGATGTTCATTTTCATGGTAAGTTGTGAAGTATTAACTTTCTTTGGGTTACCCTGTAGTCTATTAACTTTTCCCTCCATTTAAGACAGTCTATTTTATCCTGTAATCTACCTGACTTCCTCACCACCTGGATCTCTGTTCCTACATTTTTCCCTTCTATGACATTGATATTGTTTAAATCTTCAGTTGACCTCCCAGCTCCTTTGAATTCATTGTTGTAACTTATTCTGTTCTGGACTCTACTATCTGTAGTCTGAGTTTCAGGTGGTGTTGCCACGTCTGTCAATCTCTGGTTGTTGTCTGTTCTTGTTGGTTTTCAGTCCAAAGAACTTCCTTTAGGATGTTTTGAAGTGCTGGATTGGCTTTGACAAAATCTTTTAAGCTTCTGTTTATCCTGGAATGTTTTGATTGCACCATTGTATTTGATTGACAATTTTGCTGGATAGACAATTCTTGGTTAGCCGTTTATTTATTTATTTATTTTTAAGGTTTTATATATGTCTACCCATTGCCTTCTTGCCTGCATGGTTTCTGCTGAGCAGTCAGAGCTTAATCTGATTTGCTTGCCTTTGAAAGTAACACTTCTCTTTTCCCTGGATGCTTTTAGGATTCTGTGCTTGTCTTTGATTTTGGAAAGCTTTATTATTATATGTCTTGGTGATTTTCTTTTGGGGTCTATCCTTCCTGGGGTTCATTTGGCTTCTTGAATGTTTATCTTCTCATCTTTCAAGATGTTAGGGAAATTTTCTACCAGAAGCTCTTCAACACTGTCCTCTGTGGACTTCTCTGATTCTTCCTGTTTTGGAATGCCAATAATTCTTAAGTTGTTCCTCTTCATGTTATCCAGAATGAATCTTAGACTCTCTTCAGATTTTTTAATCCTCTTTTCTGCTTGCTCTTCTATCTTAGCAGTATTGAGAGATTTGTCTTCCAGCTCGCTGATTCTAGCTTCCATTTCTTCAATTCTGCTCCTTTTCCCTTTCAGTGTATCGTCCATTTCTAATATTTTATTATTAATCATTTGGGTTTCTTTTTGCAGGTTTTGAATTGTTTCCAATGCTGTATCGATCTTGTTTGATTGCTCCTGTAGTACTTTCCTGACTTATTCCTTATTTTCCTCCACCCCTTTTCAGAGCATTTGAATTGTTTCCATATCATTCTTCTGAATTCCTTCTCAAGCAAATCCAAAACCTGCTCTTCCTCTTCTGGAAAGCCTTTGTTTGTCTCCAGCTCATTTGTCTCAGCTATTCTTTTCTGTTTTTGTACATGTTTTGAGATCTTTGCTGTGTTTTTTTTGGTCATCTTCAGTAGTTAGGTGGGTTTTTAATGCTTAAGTGGATGTTTGGTGCTGTATTGTTAAGCTTACTGTGTGTCTCCTGGTGGATATGATCAGGAGATAGGCTTCCCTTTTCATGTGTAATACCCAATAACTCTTATTGGCTCTTGTCTCAATGGTGGAATATTATGGGATACGCTTGTAGCTTGGCTGTATGGCCATGATTGCTGTCTCTTCTTGAATAACTTAGGGAGAAAAATCTCCTACCTCCCAGAAAAAAGTGTTATCAAAAGGACCAAAAGCGAAGTAATATAAAAGCAGAGACAAAACCCACCACTCTTAAACAAAAATAAAACTGTGGCCGGCTGACCAGTCACCTCTGCTACGTCAGTAGTGTGTGTGTACCATAGAACCTCCAGCAGTGGGTGGGGGTGTCCACTCACTCAGGCCCCTCCTCTAGTCACCACTGCAGAGGTGCACAAATAGATATTGAGAAGTTTACAAGAGAAAGATTGTCTACCATTTTTGTCTCTGAAGGTCAGTTAGGTATATGTGTGTGCACAGTGTAATTCTCAAGATAGTTGTGTCCTTTATGTTGGGGTTTTACAGATTGTTCATATGGTTTGTCTGTCAGGCCAGCCCTGTTTTTTTCTTGCTGGTAGGCAGAAGTAAAGGGTCCCACACAAGTTCTCCATTAACTTTTAATTCCATTTTTTCAATGACTTTTTGAAGGTCCTCACATGTTTTTTGCTTCAAAATGTATATTTTTATCATTTTGAATTTAAAGGCATGATATACTTTATCCACTGGATAAGCACTGGCCTGCAAGTTCAGTCTGAACTGCAAGGTTGGTGGTTTAAACCCACGAGCTGCTCCTTGGAAATCCTATACAGGGTCACTATGAGTCAGAACCAATTTGACAGTACTAAACAACAATGTTCAGTAATTCTTTGAAATGCATAAACAACTTTCCAAAGGAATGCCTCCAAAATCATCTCTGATGCTGCAACTGCAGCATGAAGTCAAAGAAGACTACGTGTGTTCTCTTTTTAAAGTGAGTGTAAGTGACAGTAGATATGTTTTATGGACATACTGGATGCAATTTGAATCTCCCCTTCTGATCAACTTGCTTTTGCCTTATTTCCTAGGAAGTGTGTAGAGAGCTCTGGTGCCTCAGCAAAAGCAACCGCTGTGTCACCAACAGTATTCCAGCAGCTGAGGGGACACTCTGTCAAACTGGGAATATTGAAAAGGGGGTAAGCATAAAATATTTACTGGCTCTTTGAAATGTGGAATAAACTGGTGAATTTTGAGTATTAATAATCAGCAACTAAGAAATCTTGTATATTTACTTACATATTGTAATATTTGTAAAAAAAACAAACAAATGTATTGCTTAAGAAATTATAGTGAAGAGCTCTTCTCTGGGTTAATTTCTCTATAAGTATGCATATGAGTTATATTTGTATGCAAATTTCAGTGACAATCATATATTTATATAAAATAGTGTGTTTAATCATAGAATATAGTTTCGTTTTTCCCCAACAATTCTGAGAAAATTATGGACCCCAAAATAGACTTTGTAAATATAGTTTCACTAGAGTCACTTTGAAATACAATACAGGGCAGGCACTAATGTTGTTGTTAGTTTCCATTGAGTCAGCACTGGCTCATGATGACCTTGTGTACAGAATGAAACCTAGCCTAATTATGCATCATCTTCATGATATTCTACTATGTATGTTCTACTATGTAGCATTAGTAGTAGAAAAATGATAAAACAATTTATTGAGTATAAAAATTAGAATTAATTTTAGTTAAATTTCCAAAAAAATATTATCATGAATTGCTGAAATGGATAGGAATAATTGTAAACTATTTCTTAAGTTCTCTAGGAGTTGCTGTATATGTAAATTCTAAAATTTTTTGCCTATGGATTGAATATGTAATAGTAACTGCTACTGTCATCTGTTCTCTGCTCTTACTTCTTCCATGTTAACTGGGCTGGTTTCCACAAAGATTACGCTGAATTTCAGCTTGTAATCTGATGTTTAAATAAAAAGAATGAAAGCTTTTGGGCAGCTGTCACAGTTTATTAATCCTTGCTGATGGCTTCATTCAGACCCATAACCTAGTGCCATGTTGATAGCTTTTCCATGCTGAGTTTAGAAATGTTGGTAAATTATGCTAAATACATAAATTGATAGGGTCATTTTTAAAGGATTAAGGATTTTTAAAAAATGTTATAAGTAGCCAATACAAATATAAAGACTTTCACACACTACCAAAAATTCCTCCTTTTTTTTCCACTACAGTAATAGAAAATATTAAGAACCACATTCTTGAAACAACAGTCTAGGTTTATTTTGGAACTCTTGTCAGTGACAAGTAGCAATTTACATCAATTTGGACTTAGAAGAATATGCAACTATATGGGGGGAAAGTCACAGTGAGAACCTGTTCTTCTATTGTCATTAATTATTATTCTAGTTGATTTAGTCCATTGAGCATGGCTTCTATTTGCCTAGACATTTATTGTCATAAAGTCTGAGATACATTTTTATTTTGCTTTAATCAAAAGCATAAAAATATCATTCTTTTAAACACCTCAGAGTTCTCCTATAACCATTCCATAAATTACATAATCACTTGAAATAAGTAAATTGCCAATAGTGGCTATCCAAGAACGTGAAGTTCAACCCCTTCGGTCATTTATATGGTAAACACATTTAATATCTCATCATTTGTGCTTAAGAAGCCGGGACCTCAAATACCATACCTTACATCTGTGTGCATACATATATATGTGATGGAAACAACTTTTTATTGGAAATTGTAAACAATTTTAAGGATAATTAGAAAAAATATCAAATAATATTAAGAGTATTGAATTTAGTTTTACATAAGCAAATAGCTGGTGAAGGGGAAATCAAATCACTTCTGAGTATAAATATGGAAAAGCAAAGAAGAAGGCAAGTAAGATGGGACAAAATTATATTTGAGTTCTAATGATTCAAATTCCTAATCTAGGGTCATTGTCAACTCTTTTATGCCTAAAACCGTTTCTTCAAAGGAAAACTCTGGAATTCCATACATTTGACAATAGTGGAAATGCTATGGTTCAATATCTTCTTACCCCTGTACCTTATTCTTTTTTGGGGCCCTTGCTAACTTTTGACATACTGCCACAGAACAACTTGGCCTCCATGAAAAACTATCTAAAAACCTTTGACATGTCACCAGCTTATGTGCCAAAGGGTCATTTTTAATCACAACAAAGTGGTGTAGTATGATAATGTCAATATATTGCATGTTACTATTTAAAATAAAATAAATTTAGGACAAACCGAAGCCATGCTTCCAGAGACATGTAAGATATGTAGAGAGTTTTTAGAATGGAACCTACAAGCCTTAAAATGAATGAATGAGTGAATACATGAATAGACAAATGAATGAAAAAAACAAATACATATGCAGACTCCTAGGAAGAAAAAAAACAGAGTACTAGAAGAAAACCTTTAAAATATTCATATCAGTAACTTTGAATTTATGGAGATACTTTCAAGTAACTAAATCAATCTGCATTTTAAGGGAAAAAAAAAATCACAAAGAACTCAACATGTGATCCGAACACTTTAAAATTTATTTTTGTTTACTGTATTTATCACATTATCTCCTGCTTCAATCATTTTTACCCCTTAAGTGAAAATCCTGTTTAGGGTTACAAATGTAGATTTTCCCCTTAAGGCTATAGCTCTTTAGAAATTTTGATTCAAATCAAAGCAGCCAAGAAAAAAGTTAGTGACAAAATTAAAATGGAATTTTTGTTTAGTCTGGTCAACTTTAGTCAGTATCTGCACTTGCTATCTAAAAATAGTTGACATTTCTAGTTACAGTGATGACAGCAATAATAAATATTTTAAAAAATATTGACTATATACCTGGTATACATTGCTAGGTATTTTACAACCACTGTTCTTCTGTTAACTGTTAGTAGAAATCCTATGAGGTAGGTACTGTTTTTAACTCCATATTACAGGACAAGAAGACCTGAGAGTCCCAAATTATACAGTCTTGCAATGGCAGATTCCAGCCCAGATGTTTCTGATTCCAAATTTGACAACTTGGCAATTCTGTCTTTTGTTGTTAAGTGCCATCAAATTGGTTCTGCCCATAGTGACCCTGTGTAGCATTTCTGAGTAGTGGCTGGTGGTTTTGAACCACCGGCCTTGCAGTTCAAACTGACCTTGCAGTCCAGTACTTATTCTAGAGAGCCACAGTCTGCTTTGGTCTTAGGTTAAGAAGAGAAAAATTGCATTTTTTATTTTAACTGAAGTAAGGTGGGTCATAAAACCTAAGAGAGGTAATGACAATGTATTCTACCCTTTAATACTACATAGATTTTTCATTTAAGCTACCACAATGCAATGTGGATTAAAAAAAAAAAAAACTTAAATAGGAATATATGATGGTATGGCAATTCTACAATACTGAATATCCCCTCTAACGTGAGAGAAAATCTTTCAGAGATATTGTAAGAATGGACTGACGTAATAGTTCAGTGAGCTTTTTTTGTATATTTCTCTAGAGAAAAGGTTCTATATAACTACTAGAGCATCATCATTATTTTTCACATAATTTACCAACCTTAGGTGATGGCGGGTAAGTAATTTTTTGCCAGACTCTCAGTTAGCTGTAATGAGAGAATAAGAGAGAGCTTGAGGGTCTCAGAAATATTAATGGAATACCCATGATCTCAGCTCTCTGAATTTTAAAACTACTCTCATTAGAAAGAACACAAAAGAACCTACGTCCTGTCTAATCAGCAGAATAAAATCTCATAATTTTCTGAATAAATATTTTTTAAAAAATAAAGAAAGATGAGGGAGAAATATTGTTCAAATGATAGGATAGGCATATACAGAAGGTTGGATCTATGATGATCTCGTCAAACTCTGGCTGCAAAAGATATGGGATCCCTGCCCAGGGGCGCAATTCCACAAATGTTCCATCTAAGTGTGGGAATTGTTCCATGCACATTTAGCAGATGGAGTAAGAAATATGGCCAAAAATTTAAAAACTGATTTTTGCGTGAGTCCTGGGGGGTCTGACATCGCTATTACAGCCATTGGATGATTGCCTGAGTAAGCCATTCAAGGATTCAATAAGAACCATATGGTCTGAATGGATATGCTCAGGGACAGTAGCATTAACCAAAGGAGGAAATTTGATGAGCCGAGACAGTGTGCTGGTACTGAGTGTCCATGGGTCAGACTCCTACAAATCAATCAATTTGATTTTCAGCCAAAGAACTCTCTTTGGATATGGTATCTATAATGGTCTTTTGGACATAAATCAGAGGGATGCCATATTTGAGGAAATACTAAACAAGAATTTAGTTTGTAAAAACTCCGATAGTAGTTGGCATTGTTACTGAACAGGATATTAAGGATAATAAAAACCCAATCCTTGCTAGCCCTGATGTTGACCACAAAGAAGGCTTAAAATATTTGGTTTGTTGTCAAGAGATTGGTTTAATGATTCTCCAAGACCCATTTAGAGATACAGCTTAGCATTTGGGCTTACACATAAGTGACAGTGACATGGATTCCTAGTATCTTTACATGGAAAATATAGAACTGCATTAAATTAGTATGTGCCCTTCTAAAGCTCTGGGTATATAAGAGGACATTTGCAGTCTTACATCTTAATTCACTTAGGGTAGAATATAATATATTTTGACTGGGTCCCGAACTATAAACACAGGAGGTAAAAAAAAAGAATAGCTCTTCCAATTGCTGTAGAAATTTGAATAGTATGGGATGACAAGTTCTGATTTAAAATTTGGGTTGAGATGTAGCCACAACATTCCTTCACCTGTGCAGCAGAAAGATAAGGCTTTTAATAGCACTCTCCAACTCTCAGCTCTCTGACTTGGGAAGAGTGTTCTCTGTTGAGACACCAATATCACTTCCTTTAGAATCTTAGCCCTTCCTTAGGGATCTCTCATTCCAGACGCTGGCTGGTGCTGGCTATGGCTCACAATCCTCCATAGTCACATACTAAAATGATCTAGCTGAAAAGAAAAGATATTGTTATAGAAGACTATATATACTCATCATGAAGTATTCCTTTGTGGAATTCTGATAAATCCTCAAAGTTAATTTGTTTGATTTATACAGTTCCTGGATAAAATTCTCTGGTATTTTTAACATAAAGATATTTGGTAAATCATGAAATTCAACAGTCTAATAGC